GCCCGAACAGGGGTTTGCTCACATCTCACCAACTTCCGTTTGCCCGAAGAACCAGACTGATTGCGCATGTGCTTGTGCTACAATCAATCCTGGCAGTCAATGATGTGGGGAGCCGCTGGCTGGCGCAAGAACTGTCCGAAGCCACGTGGAACGCACTGCGCAATCTTGCCCCTGACTCTCTCGAATACCTTGCTTCACAAGAATGCACATCTGTCTTTAGTCTGGTGCATGAACGAATCTTCGAGTGTTGCGCCATTGCACGCCCGCTGCCAAACAACGATGCCTAAACTTAAACTTCAATGTATCCCGTGGTCTAGCTCAGGTAGGCAACCCCGGACCATTGACAGGCCGAGGTGCAAGCTTTGACGACAGGTCTCCATGGATGTGCACCTGAGGCCATGCACGCCAGCAGCCGGCAGATTTGGGACCAAATGCTCAACAAACCACAGTTGCAAGTGCTCTTCTGCAGAACGGACAGCCGAGTGTCCAGAAGCCGGCAAGACATTGGCATGCCGTCTGCATCCAGAATTACGGCGTCACCTCAACAGCTGAGCGAGTCTGCATGCTGCCGCTGCATGGGGTGCCCAAATAGAACCGTTCAACGATTCTGCGTCCTCATTCAAAGTGTCAACAGCTGTCAACACTCACTCTTGTACAGTCCTTAGAACACGGATTCACTAACAGCCAATCTTCCCTTCTTCCTGGACCTGTGGGTGGGTGTGGTTGCCTGCTCCCTCATATGGTTTGGTTTCATGTGCGACGATATCCATACTGGCGCCATCTCTGAGCATCGGTATTGCTGAAACGTCGGAGTGAAATCGCGACTCTTGTGTGGTTGACATGTCGTCATGATATTAAAGAACCGCATCGGGAACGTCTCCGCGAACACCACCCGCTACCAGAAGCTCCAACTCATCTGTAACATATACAGCTCCCCCATTCCGGTTCCTTTCATTTCTGCCCCAGCGGCGGCAGCGCGAAATGTGCCCCGCAAGGAGCGCTGCACGTTTCGATGCTGGTACCGCTCGGAGCCGGCGAAAGAGCGCCGCCTAGATTTGTAAGGCTTGCGTGGCTGAGGGTGTTGGAGGTCTATGTAGCCATGCCCTTAGCGGCTGAACTGTTGAGTATGTCGTCTCCAGGTGAGCAAAGCAAAGAGGGTGCCTCTACAATACCGGCAAGTTCTGGGCGTGTTCAAGTGACATAGCGACCAGAGTGATAGGTAAACGAAGTCGCGTGATGCAGACGCTTTTTCTCGCAAGGCATGAGCTCCCGGTCAATGCAACTGAGGCACATGGGCATCTGATACCACAGCAGGCATCAGTACCAGCACGCTCCTACACCGCGCGATGCTAAGCAGGCAGTTTAACTCCGAGCCCCTGCAATCAAGTCGGTAGCTTCAACACCGCATCGCTGATTTTGCCATGATTCCTCACAAAACTACTGTTGTAATTATATACATCCTGTGGCAAACCCTTGCTTGGAGTCCCTGTCACTGTCCCAGGAAGGCTGTGATTTTGCAAGTGCTTTTTAGATATTAACATAAAATGAAAGATAATTGTTGTAAAGGGAAGCTCCGAAAGGTTGCAGCAAGGAAACAACTAACTGGCAAGATACTGGTTTCTATAGGGCTCGCGAACCCCCACCTTACATGTTCCTGCACACAATTACAAGTTTCTGGTTTATACAGGGCCTGGGATCTGCACCCTATATGGCATCCGGCAAAGAAATAACTGGCAAATCAAAGGTTTCTGCAGGGGGCCGAATCTTGACTATGCATTGCCTGCGCAGGGTTTTCAGTCCAACACGGACCGGAGAAGGCCTTCTACGAGTAACGCGCATTTCAATGGCTTCGGGACGGTGATTGACTGGCTGCGATTTTCTCTGCCGCTCCTAAATTCCTATTCAAACCTGCAGAAGGAGATCGGAGCTGGAGTAATGGCCCGGTGCTGCATATGCCAAGGCTTTCTGCTGCGGGGCCAACCAGTAACCAGAAGAAACACCTACTAGTAGTAACTTGCATGTTACGTAATGGTTTCCGGATGCTGGTTACCCTTTTTACAGCTCGGAGCCGGAATTATTCCGCCGGGGCATGTTCAGGCAAAGATTTCTGAAACAAAGCAAACCACCAAGACCTCCCTTGGTTTAGTTCTTTCAGGCGCCCAGCCTTGTTTTGGGCCTTGGCTTGGTTGCCAGCTTGAAACAGGGATGTCTGCTAAGTTTGCTTCGGTTGTTTTTTGGGGTTTAGTTTTGGGATCCCGCCGGCCTACTATTTGCCAAAGGCTTCAAACTTCGCAATCCAGGCACGACCCTGTTATATTCGAGGGGTCCGAGTTCTCTTCAGGGGGAGTCAGGCAGGTCCTTCCTGGTTTGATCCGCGGGGGCGAATTATCTCGAGGGGTCGGGGACCCGATTTGAATAGGGAACTTGTGCAGGAAAAAGAATCGGGTTGTGCCTGGATTGCGCAGTTTAAAGCCTTTGATAAGTAGTAAGCCGGTGGGCGTAGGTCTCCATACCTTCAGAGTACTCATGCCCGATGAGTCCGTGTCTTGGGCCGTGGTCTGGCTCCGACGTCTGCTACTCTCACTTCGGTCTTGAAGCGTCAGGATCTTTGGAGAAATACAAGTACAAATAAGAGGAATAAAACAGGCTAATAAGAGGACAAGAAGAATTAATACTAAGACTAGTAGGAGGCATACTAATTTTAATTGACAACCATAACAGGAACTCTGATTAAGTAGTTGATACAAATAAGAGGAATTCTGGGATGCAACAGAAAAAACGAATACCAATAGAGGAATGCAAATACAAACAAGGGGAACACAGGGATACTAATACGAAGAAGAGGAATATGAGCATTAAGATGTAAACGTAAACCAATTAATCAACTTGCAATTTAACTGTTCCTGCATGCCTGCAACGAGCAGTTAGTTTGCGATTTATTTGTACCCCCAGCGCTTGTACAAGATAGCAACAATTGACTTGCATCTCAATAGTGGTCCCTAAACCCTCCATGGAACCCAAGTACAGAAATAGCGAACTTGCAAGTGAAAAGCAGAACACTTGCGTAATCGTTTTTCTCCCTGTCTGACTTCGTATTCTCCGGTGACTTGGCCCTGCTGCCACCTTTTGCAGCAACATCCTTAATCCTCTGCATGCAAATGCACTGTCACAGCAGGATCCCTTTAGAACCTCTTAGAAGAATGGCACATGTGTGGCAGACTTAGCAAAAACGAACCTCCAGAATTACCGGTACAGAGAAGTAGAAAGGTGAGTCATGTGAGTGCACAAAGGAACACAAGAGTTGAGAAGCACGAGGCGGAAGCCAGCAAGGAAGGGCTGCATTGGATTGACCACGACCACAGCGAGTCATAGGACGTCATAGGACCGTTATGGGGCTCCTGCCAATCAGCGATTCCGGCTCGTAGCCCAGCATTTCACAAAGCCTTACACCGCAGATGGGTTCAGCTGTTTTTTTGACATGTTTGGGGCTGCCATGGGCCAGCCTTCAACATGGCAACCTGCACACTTTCCTGTCAGTACTTTGATTGGTGGCGATGAACACTAATCACTAAGCCCGCTCTAAGCCCGGCTTCTTTGCAGGTGCGAGGTGCTTTACGTCAACTTCGGTCAACGATTGTTAGGAGATGCGGCGCTGGAATTCAAGGGCTGACGGTGCGCACGATACTGTCCCGAGACTATCGCACTTCACTGCCTCTGAATGTAATCATGAAGATGATTTGGTGGCGACTTTCCATGGCTATCAACTGCTCATGTTCCAACCAAGCTTTGACCAATTTGGGCCAGCAGCCTTGCACGATTCAGCCTCCGGTTTCGAATCTCGTCGGCCACACCCATAAAGAATGCTAAGTCTTGCCCTGCCGCCAATCGATCTTACATGTCGAGCCGAGCAACTCTGGCTGAACTTTCGTAATGGTGAAGTTTGGGTCGCAGTGGAGACACACACTCCACGATTTCCGAGACTGCGGAGAAGCGATGGAGCGAGCCTGCAGCCGTGCGTTCCCGGCCATGTTCAGGCCTTCGACTTCGACAACCTGCTCATGCCTCCGCCTGCAAACGTCCCGGTATTCTGCCTTCTCCTTGTAGGGCCATGATGGAGGCGGTTCCTCCTGCGCCTGCCGAATATCTCGCAGACACTTTGGACCGTGCTTGAAAATCACGTGGAGGACAAGATTCTACGGATTCTAGCATCCAGAGGCAGTCCATCAGCTCGACAGGAGATCATCCGAGCAAAACCCGCCTGTAGCCGGTGCAGCCAAGTCCGATTGAAGGCCCTTTTAAGAAGCCATCGCAATGCCTCAGGAGATGGCAGAGGCTATCGGCTAGATGCTCGTGCTGCCTGCATGCGGATTCAATTCATTGAGGTCTTGTCACCCATCAATCGGACACATGCCGAAAAGCCGCAAACGGCTCTGCTGGCAGCCGAGCAGCCGCCATCATAGAGTTTGTCAATACCCCCTCGGCTGAAGCAAGCCGTGATGGAGGACCAGGGACCGGGTGGCTTGTGTGCAGCAGCCTTTTGCTGAAGTGTAAGTTCTCATAGCTGATCGGCCCTGTACGGAAAGTGAGAGGCAAGCTTCCAGTAGAGCCATTGTCTTCACCTGCGAGGCCGAGGCTCGCAGGAGCTGCCCTGACCTGGAACATTGGACCACATGGGGGTTTGGGTCCTGGGGCAACTTGGGCAACTTGACTTCCGCAGATCTAAGCCCATGGCAGTGGCATTGGGGGGCTTGTGCCTCAACCCAAACCTACCCCGATGAAGCCAACTGCGGACGACGCGCGGCTTGGACACCGTAGCATAACTTTCGACAAGAGCGCCAGAAAAGATGTTGGGTCAAGCTGGAAGTGCTGCGGCTGAGACGTGCAATCACTACTACAAACTCAGCATCCGAAGCTCTTGGCAACCCTCCTCCCATGGGCCCCTGAGTTGCTGCTGCCCTCAAACCATTGCTGCTGAAGCCCTGTGGGGAGTTTCGGCGCACTTTGCGCACCCGGCTTGATGGGCCGGTCCTGCGGGGCCTTTCGACCTGGGATGCTTCGGTGCAGGGAGATTTCGATGCAGGCCCATCGGCAAGCATTGCAAGAGTCAAAGTCTCCCCCGCACATCCTGTCCGGTCGAGCAACATCCCAAGTCACAATAAACCACAGCCTGCTGTGTGTTTGATGGGGCCCGAAGATCCGCAAAAATTTCGTTCGGCAGCTTCGTTTCAGAAGACAAGGGCTGGGTGATGCGAGCGAGCTTGTGAAAGGTCAATGCAGGGAGGGTAGGTGCAGAATCATAACAACGCCCTTCACCATGCACTTGGCGACCAACCCTGTGCCATCTTCTCCATCTTCTCCTCAACGGTTATGGAGGCTGGCAAGTTCAATCTGAGATTGGGATCGGCACCGCAAGGTTCGGATGCCCACCTGCTTGTCGTGGGCTTTCTTCGCCTCTCGCAAGGAGGCAAGCACATGGCTAGTTGCCGACCTTACGTGCTGCAACAACCTGCTAAGACATGGATACTTTCCAGCACGCCTTCGCTGCCTCAACTGGGACAGCCTGTTTGACCTGGAATCGCAGTGACATCCAATCATGCAGAGCAAGGCTTTCCCATCGGCAATTCTGTAGCCCTACTGCACATTACGCAAAAGCTACCGAGGCCAGCACTGCATTGAACACCTGAGCCCCAATCTCCACAGTGTCTCTACGGTGCCACTGGCCCTCCTTTATCTGCGACGCTCGCATGCCGGCACCTTCCGCTTCTCCTGGAAGACCTTCTGGCAAATGCCCATGTGCCTGTCCAGAATAGAAATCCTGCAAAGCAAGAAGATGTGGCTGCAAGAAGATGTGGCTGGTCACGGAGACTCACTGTACGCAGTGCTACCAAGATCTCAAGGGCATGCTGTCTCTTGCTCCCTAGGACTCCTGAAGGTGCGACCACAGTGGGGGCAGGGAGCCATGCGTTCGTCCGGCGGGGCCTGGCCCACAGCATGGCCCTTGTACTCCAAGCAACATCTCCAAGACTCTGCCTTGACATCACTAGGGTTTTGCAGCGATGCAGGATGTCGGTGTGAGCGTGGCATTCTACCTGAGCTGTCGCTCGTGTGAGCCGGGCGTGCTCCCGGTTGTATCCAGACTGCACCTCTTCAGCAGAAAGAAAGCTGTCATATGGCTGAAACTCGTACGGACACGCGCTGACAATCCCGGAATGCCACAGTTAGTAGTTGGACTGTTGCACGCCTGCGCCCCTGTGTTTCCTTGAGTTCAGGGGTTTTCGACTCGGTGTTTACGATGGTTTCGGGTTTGAAGCGGATTTTCTGGGATCATCTAAGGCCTTGCGGAAATTCTGCTTTTCAGAGTCTTCAGTTTTAGGCGGACTGTTTTTTCGGGCTCTTCAGGCTTTGACGGTGGGAAGTCGGGATCTTCGCACTTTCTTGAAATGTCTCAGGCTGCGGCAGGTTTCTAAGGGAGGTCGGGGGAGGGGGCGGGGGGGGATGATAGCGATCATTCTACTGCTTCTTGGTGTCCAAGCTCTTCTTTCAGGCTTCTAAGCACTACAGGGAGTAAACTTTGCTACCTCAACTGTAAACCCTCAAGACGTGAACCCTAGGCCCTAAACCCTACAGGAAACACCGTTGCAAGCTCAAAGCTTCCAGGCCCGAAGCCCAAAACCCCCAACAAAAAAGCTGACTCAAGTTCTCACACCCTGAAGCAGCTTCTGTAGTCCCAAAACTAAAACCGTAACTTCAAACACATATCCAGAGGCAAGCCCAAATCTCCATCTTGCTGGTTGCCCTGATCTCGGAGCCCCTGAGCCTGACCCTTTAGATAACTGCAAGCTGGGAACCCCAAAACAGGAAATATCATGAGAGCAGCTCTGGGAGTGCAGTCAGATGTTGCAGCTGCGAACGAGATGCAAAAAGTGCAGCAGAAACCTAAACCAATACGTTTGTCCCAAAGCCCCTGCTAAACCCTACCTGCATAATCTATCGCATCTACCAGTGCTTTCGTGCTCTCAAGCCCAAAAAAACAGCAGGGGCGCACATGTGCCGCGCACCTAGTAGTTCATTAGTTATCATTTCGTTCCGGCTGCCTCGGCCTCGTCCTGCATAGCACCAAAGGCCGAGCCCATGGCCTGTAGGCTGCAAGTCTGGTGCCGAGTGGTCTGTGATGTATCAACTTGAGCGCATACTGGCAGGCTTGTTATTCCGAGCACAAGGCAGCCGAAACGACAAGCCGTGTACATGCATCAAGGGGGTGCGGGGGATGCCTTGTGCGGGCGTTGAGGAGAACAGTTTGTTCGAGTCCCACCGCAAAACACGAAGCCTCACATGCAACTTCTTTCCGCCGACCTGAGCACCGGCTCCGGGAAGGGCTGGCGAGCCGGGTCTAGCTGCCGGCACCTGGAGAGAGTTGCTGTATGGACCGGGCCGGGAAGCTGCAGAAGTTCATCTGAGCACGCGGCCGGGCCATTCTGCCGGCTTGCAGTTGGTAAAGGTGGTGACATGGGCCGCTCTTGGGCCTGGGTCAGAGCTGGTGCTCCAGTATGCGTGCATATAAGAGGTAGCGGTCCGTGTTTGTCAGGGCTGGCATTATCCGACATTCCTGTTGAAGCTGGTTTCAGCCGCCCGCTTGAGGACCCCATGACCCAATCGCGAACTTAGCCAACCAAACCACATCGGAATGGTGTTGACTCCGAAGCCAGCTTGTGTCACACTTCATGGCAACAGCAGCTACGAGCAGTGCCTGCAACGAAGCGACAGGCTGCGGTAATCAAAAAGTTGAAGATAAAGAAAGCCACAAGCACGCGTGTTTGGAATTCCTCATCTTCCAACTTCCCTTGAAGCCCGTCTGAGCAGGTGGACCGGTCCAGTCCGTCGGCTGTGAGTTGGTAATGGTGGTGACGGAGGCCGCTCTTGGGCCTGCTGAAAGCGAGGACAGCCGACAGCTGGACGGGGTTCCGGATCAAGGCTTTACGCTCTCGCAACTCGGACGCATCCAGACGAGGTTCTTGGTCGGCAGGTCGGGTTTCTACAGCGTGTTCCCAGGGGCATCCTGAAAGACAAACAACACAAGTTAGCGCCACGAAAAGCTGGCCAAAGAAAGGGTCCACGACAGAATAGGACACTCTGCATTGAAAGAGTCCCAGGGGCCCATGCATTACCTGGCATTTCTTAGCGATGCGACACATCCGGCCCGACAAGAGCATTCCATGTGCAGCCATACTGATGTGACAAGACATGTCTGCGCCAGCGAAGAGCAGGTACATGCTTTGTCTATACGGTTCTGAGGCTGAGTGGGCAGTTCCAGCACTTTGCTCAACCCTGTCATGCACACCCGAAGATGGCTTGGCAGCACATCTATAGCTGTCTAGTTGCCACAATGGTACTCGAAAAGGATCGGACAGTACGTTTAGCCACTCACATTCATCAGGAAGAGGTGAAATCGCGAATGAATAGCAGAATAGCAGGTGCCAGCAACTGTATAAGCTTCCACAAACAATCGCAATGGAGTGTTTTGCGGCTTGACGCAGCCATGCAGATGCTAGCACAGAAGTCGAAGCAGATGCAACAGGTAAGCTAGAACTGCGGTAGGACCAATTAAGCTGAACATGTAGTCAACCTTTATAAGTCTCGTACTTTCAATCCGCGCAGAAGTTATCATCATAGCTCTCATTGTAAAAGTACAGCACATCTCAGACATTTCTAATTAGTTCGTTTGTTGGTGAGCCGGCCACTGCTCCAGAACCCCCCCCCCCCAGGGGTCGTTATTCTACGCTGACAAGCAAAGGCAGCCCGCAGCAGCACGGAGCGAAGACTCGCACAGGACGACTCGAACATCTGGCGAACTGGGATGTTGCAAGGAAGCCCGAAAGCTCGCGAAAGCCGTCTGTATTAGAGTTGCTTCTGGCTTTCCTCAACCCAACTTCCAACTTCCCTTGAAGCGCGTCTGAGCAGGTGGACCGGTCCAGTCCGTCGGCTGTGAGTTGGTAATGGTGGTGACGGAGGCCGCTCTTGGGCCTGCTGAAAGCGAGGACAGGTTCCGGATCAAGGCTTTACGCTCTCGCAACTCGGACGCATCCAGACGAGGTTCTTGGTCGGCAGGTCGGGTTTCTACAGCGTGTTCCCAGTGGCATTCTGAAAGACAACACAACACAAGTTAGCGCCACGAAAGACTGACCAAAGAAAGGGTCCACGACAGAATAGGACACTCTGCATTGAAAGAGTCCCAGGGGCCCATGCATTACCTGGCATTTCTTAGCGATGCGACACATCCGGCCCGACAAGAGCATTCCATGTGCAGCCATACTGATGTGACAAGACATGTCTGCGCCAGCGAAGAGCAGGTACATGCTTTGTCTATACGGTTCTGAGGCTGAGTGGGCAGTTCCAGCACTTTGCTCAACCCTGTCATGCACACCCGAAGATGGCTTGGCAGCACATCTATAGCTGTCTAGTTGCCACAATGGTACTCGAAAAGGATCGGACAGTACGTTTAGCCACTCACATTCATCAGGAAGAGGTGAAATATCGCGAATGAATAGCAGAATAGCAGGTGCCAGCAACTGTATAAGCTTCCACAAACAATCGCAATGGAGTGTTTTGCGGCTTGACGCAGCCATGCAGATGCTAGCACAGAAGTCGAAGCAGATGCAACAGGTAAGCTAGAACTGCGGTAGGACCAATTAAGCTGAACATGTAGTCAACCTTTATAAGTCTCGTACTTTCAATCCGCGCAGAAGTTATCATCATAGCTCTCATTGTAAAAGTACAGCACACCTCAGACATTTCTAATTAGTTCGTTTGTTGGTGAGCCGGCCACTGCTCCAGAACCCCCCCCCCCCCCAGGGGTCGTTATTCTACGCTGACAAGCAAAGGCAGCCCGCAGCAGCACGGAGCGAAGACTCGCACAGGACGACTCGAACATCTGGCGAACTGGGATGTTGCAAGGAAGCCCGAAAGCTCGCGAAAGCCGTCTGTATTAGAGTTGCTTCTGGCATTCCTCAACCCAACTTCCAACTTCCCTTGGAGCCCGTCTGAGCAGGTGGACCGGTCCAGTCCGTCGGCTGTGAGTTGGTAATGGTGGTGACGGAGGCCGCTCTTGGGCCTGCTGAAAGCGATCACAGCCAACATCCGAAAGCAGCAGTACAATTACAAGCTCACCAGAAGCAAACATAAAACACAATTAGCGCGAAGAAGCAGAAGACCCGTAATCGTACCAATAAGCAGCAGGAGAAACAAACAAGCACTAACAAGAATGGCCAGCAGCGTGTCACCAAAACAAGTGTTCGCGGCAACTGGCACAAACTAAATTTCAGGAAACAAGATGGCTGACCACAACCGGCAAGGCGACAAATGGGACGGTCCACAGGCCACCAAACAAGAAACTGAATACAGCAATGCGTCTTCTTCTATCATGCATGTACCCCAACAATCCACAGGTAGCCTTGGAGCCCACACGACTTCACACAGAACATCCTTTCCGAAAGCTGGGATCTGAGCAGGCGGCTGGCATATTCCGTCGGTTTGCAGGTATTGGCGGTGAGGGCTGCTGTTGAGCCTGCGTCGCACCATTCAGCGTGCTGGGGCACTTCTTTGTGCCTGCTCCTGGCAGAGTTTTCCGCACTCCGCGGCTCTAGAGATATTCTACGGGGCTGTCGGATGCATATATACAAAACTTCGCCAAAGTCCGGGAATCGCGGTCACAAACATGCCCCAACCTGTTAAACATTCCCTAACCAGGCTTTGCCTTGCCCATAAAGTCGCCGTTGTCTGCACCTGCTCATGATCATGCAGAGGATTGCAAGCAAAGCAAAGCAAAAAAACATCTTATTCAGGGTGTTGGGGCCCATTATACTATAATAAGGAACCCCTAGAATATGAAGGCCTCCATATTTCCCGCCTGCTCGCTACAGACAGCGATCAAGGAGTCCCTGAAAATAACAGAACTGGGACTCTAAGGATGCAAGAAGATCTGCCTCGCCGACAAGTTGCGACCCGATAGCATCTCTGAATTTACGTCCCGCTGGCAAATGGCGCGCATCATGCAGTTCATGCAACTAGTTTTCGAAGCTATCCTGCAAAAAGGATGCTTGGCATGTAATAGCTTCCCTTCCTTCAAGTGGGACACGGATCTCGAATTGCTGACGCCCTAAACCTCAGCGACAATGTCTCTACCATGGCACCATGCGTGAACCCGCCCTCCACCGAAAGCCTCACACCGTGCTTCAAGGCGTCAAGGGCGCCTGTCGCTCTATACCCTCGGGTAGGAGTCGATTGCGACGACTGCGCAGGGTCGGGCCTGGCTGGCGGCCGGAGCCCAGCTTCGGGTCCAATGGATTTCTCAATTTTTCCTGTGGCTCCGTAGCAGACAAGCTCCAGGGGCCGTGCTTGGCAAAGGGATCTCCCCTGGAACGACTTGGAACGCCGCAGGTCTTCAAGTGCATCACCTCGGAGCTACTTCTCGCTGAGCCAACGAAAGCGTGGTTACGGCATACAAGGAAAACACGATCGCCCCCCCCCCCCCCACAAGGTTCACGCACGAAGCCAGAGCAAACATGGCATTGAACCCAAGCAGAACCAAAGACCTGCACTCCGGCCTTAAGAAACATAATTGATTCGATGGACAAGGGCGTGCAGAAGCAAGCCAGCATGACTTCCGACTCGAAAACTCACGGAACAAAACTGAGCACAGTCATAATTACACACTACCGTGTCGGCACGTGCAGAAATTCAGAAATGCCATTACCGACGATTGTTCGCGAAACGAGACCGCCGTGAACAACAACAAGCCCAAACGGCTTGTCACGGTGCAGAACCTTGAACTGCAATGGCGCTAGGTCTGCTAGGTCCAAGTCCATGCCCTGCATCATCAGTATGAGGTCCCAACTCCCAACCACGCCTTTTTGAATCAGGGCTTGTGCAATCGCCCTGAACGCTGACGCCCACAGTGCCCTCTTTCCCGCTCTCTCTGAATCCGAAACCCGAACATCCCAGAACTCGCCGGCGAGCAGCCAGTGCACGACCCTGCAGCGCCCTTCCGCAGCGCGGACAGCCAGAGCCCTCCGAGGCCTGGGCCCAGAATCCATAATCCAACCTAAAATTAGGAAATTTAAGGACCATGCTACCTATCTGCATCGCGTTGAGAGTTTAGGGCCTTAGACTCTTCGAGTCCACGTGCTGAGCTCATTGCAGGTGATGGTCCCTTAATAGGATCGAGATACGCAGGGTCGGCCGGGGGACACCCTTTCGGACCCTGTTTGGTGGGTCCGAAAGGGTGGTTCCCAGGGTCTCCCGTAGATCTGGCCGGACCCTTTCGGACCCACCCATTCGGACCCTGCTGGTAGTCATTGAGTCTGCGTCGGGCTCGGCTTGAATTTGGGTATGGCTCAACATAGTTTTCATGATATTCAGCATGGTTTCCGCATATATTTTTCCAGCACCCACGCAGAAGTTCACAGAAGTAGCAGGCAGCGGGCCTCGGGACAAGGCGCACACTCAGGGCCTGCGCAAAAGCATCCAGAAACTCAAAATCCAGAATCCTTGGAAGAGCCCCTGAACCCATAAACCCCGAAACCCAGAAATTCTTAACCCTTATGTCGCTTATGTCCCGCAGTAACCCAAAACCCCAAACGCTGAAACCCTAAACCCAGAAAGCCCTTGAACCCAGATACCCACCAAGCCCCCAAACGCAGAAGCATTGTACCCAAGCGCCTGAACTCAGAAACTGAAAACCCAAAACCACTGAACAGAGGAACCGGTGAACGCAGAAACCCTACACCCAGAATCCCAGAAACCCTGAGCCCATATCCCAGAAACCCTAAACCCAGAATCCCAGAAACCCTGAGCCCATAGCCCAGAAACCCTAAACCCAGAAACCCAAAACCTTGTGCTCCAAACCCTTGAACTCAGAAGCTAACAACCAAGAACACCTAAACCCAGAAGTTCTGAACCCCCAAATCTGCGAGTAAGCCCAGAAACCCTGCACGCAGAAACCCTAAACCCAGAAAACTCCTGAAGCCAGAAATGCAGAACCCAGAAACCGCAAACCCCGGAAGCCGCAGACATCATAACCTGAAACCCAAAATCACCGAACCGAGAACCGCTGAACCCAGAAACCGCAAACACCCAAACACAGAAACCCTGTAGAACCCAGAATCCCTAAGCCCTTAAACCAAAACCTTAAACCCCTGGACGCTGCACCGAAGCACAATAGCGGCTTGAAGCAAGTCACATGTCGTGCTCGAATCGAGTGGCCGACATGCCGACGCCACAGGGGCGACGCCGGGCGTCGCAACAGGAATCCACCGAGCGGCGCCCGGCGTCGCCCGGCGTCACCCCGCTCCCACAGGTGTGGGCGACGCCGGGCGCCGCTCGGTGGATTCCTGTTGCGACGCCCGGCGTCGCCCCTGTGGCGTCGGCATGTCGGCCACTCGATTCGAGCACGACATGTGACTTGCTTCAAGCCGCTATTGTGCTTCGGTGCAGCGTCCAGGGGTTTAAGGTTTTGGTTTAAGGGCTTAGGGATTCTGGGTTCTACAGGGTTTCTGTGTTTGGGTGTTTGCGGTTTCTGGGTTCAGCGGTTCTCGGTTCGGTGATTTTGGGTTTCAGGTTATGATGTCTGCGGCTTCCGGGGTTTGCGGTTTCTGGGTTCTGCATTTCTGGCTTCAGGAGTTTTCTGGGTTTAGGGTTTCTGCGTGCAGGGTTTCTGGGCTTACTCGCAGATTTGGGGGTTCAGAACTTCTGGGTTTAGGTGTTCTGGGTTGTTAGCTTCTGAGTTCAAGGGTTTGGAGTACAAGGTTTTGGGTTTCTGGGTTTTGACACTCACACTCGGGCAAGCCTGGCGAGGTCTGTAGCGATTAAGGACGAACATACAGGATCAACTTCAAGCCGATTTCACTTGAAGCCAGGCTGTTCATGCCAGGGTTTCTGGGCTATGGGCTCAGGGTTTCTGGGATCTGGGTTTAGGGTTTCTGGGATATGGGCTCAGGGTTTCTGGGATTCTGGGTGTAGGGTTTCTGCGTTCACCGGTTCCTCTGTTCAGTGGTTTTGGGTTTTCAGTTTCTGAGTTCAGGCGCTTGGGTACAATGCTTCTGCGTTTGGGGGCTTGGTGGGTATCTGGGTTCAAGGGCTTTCTGGGTTTAGGGTTTCTGCGCTTGGGGTTTTGGGTTACTGCGGGACATAATAAGCGACATAAGGGTTAAGAATTTCTGGGTTTAGGGGTTTGTGGGTTCAGGGGCTCTTCCAAGGATTCTGGATTTTGAGGTTTTTGGATGTCTCTGGATTTTGGTGTATAGGTTTCAGGGTTTAGGTTTTCAGGGTAAATGTTTTGTACCACTCGCCAGCACACCTATTCTCTCATATTCTATGACCCCCATACAAGGCACTCCGGGGGTCTACAAGGTATTTCAATGCCTAGTGCCCCCCCCCGTCAGCCACCCCCCAAAAGGCATTCTTTCGGTGCGGTGATACCGCAGGACTAAAGTTAAATCTGGTTTTAACTGGCTTGCTTTTCTAATATCTGAGGTAGGGTCCGAATGGGTCGGGCGACCCTTTCGGACCCTGTTCCCAAGGGTACCCAGGGCCACCCTTCCGGACCCTGGATAAATCGAGGGTATGTCCCTTACATATGGATTCGATGTCCACTCACTCGTCAACAAAACATAAGTCTCTCTTCACTGTGACGACAGCGACGACCCAGGAGGAGGAAGAGGATCGCATCAACTTACACAAGGCTTTCACTCTTTCACCTTCTACTTCCACTTCTTCGGCTGCGAGCATAATATTTGCTCTTACGACGACGTGACCACTTCTTTTACAGTCGAGTCTAGGAACTGGTAGCAACAGCGGCAGTGGGCAGTCGCACTGACACCAGAAGCAGTATTCGACTTGATACCAACATATCAAAGCTGTTTCTGACGGCTGCGCATGCTCCTACTCGCCCGGTTGATGCCGACGGCCGATTAATTGAACTAGTCCAGCCGCACCGTATGTGATGACCTCAGCTCTACACAAGCTTGAAGTACTTGTACTAGTACAAGTAGCTCAGCAAGCGTCCCGTGCAGGCGAGACCGTACATGTTCACTGGTGACTGCTCCTCTCTGGCGGCGCTGCTTGCCGCCTTCTTGCACGCACTTCGCTCAGCTCCACTCAGCCGCGGGCTCCGGAGGGAGGCCTCGCGGAGACAGGTCTGTCATGAAAGCTGTCGCTCAAGTGGCCCTGATTTTAATTCCGGACAACAGTAAGTTCTGTTGTGGCCTCAAGGAATGCTCCGCCAGTCTGGCGGAAGTTGCTGGCACCAGCTTTCTATTGGCTCACCCCCGGTTCTGCGGCACGCAAGCACGAAGTTTAGCAAGTACTTCAAGGTCCAAAGCGAGAAGCCAGAACCCAGAAGAGCGGGGGGGCTCCTTGCGCTGACCTCTCCGCGACAAGCCAAGGCAGCGCGGGGGGGGGGGCGCCTGGAGTTGGTCGACGGAGGCCGAGGCTCTGGTGCCGGCTTGGCCTGGCCAAGGCCACACACTGTCTCCGCGTGGATTCATGTGATCATGTGAACTATAGGCAGCGAAAGCCGCAGCCGAGAAACGGATGAACAGGATGACCGACTGAAGATGTAAGGTTCTGAAATCAAGCACTTCAGCCTTCGGGCGGCGGGGAGCACTGGCCCCCCGGGCTCGCGGCTCCACGGAGAAGCCTCTCACGACACGTGCATGCAATCGGGCTGAGATCATGATAGGCCTACGGGATATTTGCAATTCTCGGAGACCTGGCGTGGACTGGGCAATTGGGTTGCTGAGATGCATTTCGCCACATCTCACCTATTGCAACCCCGAGTACAGCCCTGGTGAGGCCTGAAACCCACATCACCGCCTAGCCTTGGCTCGGCGGATTCGAGTCTGGCCGGTCCGCAGACGCAGCGCCTCGCTTCGCATGCGGCGAACTGTCGTTCGGATAACGGGCTTGCTCAGAAGGTCCTCTGACCTCCTGTGTTGAGATCCCTGTGTATTATAGCCACTACATCATCCAATGCTCCTCGTCCTTCTACTTTTGACGCGAACCCTGTGCTAAACCCTCTGAACCATCTATAGGCCATCTGTAGCACTTAATTTGCGGACGCTGTGGTGTCCGCTGCGGTCTGGCTGGCATCAGTCAGCGAGGGTACATAGCCAGATCTACTCTTATTTGTCTGTCGGTTATTTTGGGTGGTCGTGAAACCACGACGAGACAGCGAGCGAGAGAAAAGCAGCAGGAGAGGGAGATCGATGTGTAGATCGATCGGTGGTCGGGGGGCGGGCTGGCTAGCTGCAGGCAGACAGATAAAAACTTCATCTGCAGATATCTAGGTATCAAAACGTACATACATACATACATACATACATACAGACAGACAGACATACATACAGCTCTATACGCGTATTTCCTTCTTTACGGTTGCTACTCCCTCTAGCTCCTTCGGTCCCTCCAGCTCTCAGAAAGGCATCAACAAATTGGCAAATGCAGCAGAAGAGGGCTGACAGTTGGCTTCTGTGTGGCCACCCATCTCGCTGACAGAGTCGTATTATTGCAGAGAACACGGACACATGAACAAGTTTGAAGAGCAGCAGCTCGGGGCCACAAAGCAGTGGGACAGTAACGACAATACCAAGTGAGGACAACAGATGGAGAAGAACGGTCCCCTGAAGCCTGCGAGACTCGCTGGAGAAAACTCGCGGCGATGTAGCCAGCAAGCCCAGTTGGCGCCCTTTGGAAGGCTTCTGCTTCGGATCTTTTCCTCCGAGCTTCCCAGAATCGCAGAGCCGACAGTGTCGAGTTAAATTTCGGAGCTCTTGCCCGACGTGCTGGCATGCGGCCGCAAGCAGGCTGGCCCGGCAAACCAGGATTGGTCTGACTAGTCCTCTGGCAGCCCCTCAGAACTTTCGCCTCAGGTGCTTCAGTCTTTGTCGATATCCGTGCAGTGTCATGACGCATAGCACGCTCTGATTCCAATCCGAGTCGGCAACCTTCCGAGGCCTCCTTGGCAATGTCAGCTGGCCTGCCGAGCTTTCGATCCGATTCTCATGCCAAGAGATCGCTAACAACTGCTCACTCACCACGGAGCTCGAGCTTACTCGTAGCTTCAGCCGTTGAAAGTTTTTGCACGCGTTTATGGGGTTGGCTGACGCCTGACGACTCCGATGAAGCTCGCAATCTTACAAAGGAGATCGACCATTGCTTCTTCTTCGATGATAGTAACCAAGTACTGCAGGTGCCGGAGGCTCCTGTGCTCTTTGGCTCTCGTTCTGCCGGGCCCACTCTTCCTGCAGGCCTCGGAGCCTCTTTTTTTACATCAGGGCTTGGGAAGTCGGCCGGGGAAAGTGACAGACAACAACAGCATCTGACTGACGACTTCAACTGTGCGTACAAGGTGACATTCCTCCAATAGAATAGGATGCATAGTTTGCAAGGACGAGAGCAGAACTTTGTGACACTCAGCGGTGACCGTGAAGACTGCATCCTGAAGTGCTTGAAGAAATGCCAGAGACTGCCTAGGAAGTCATCCTGGAGATGCCATGTCTGCACTCCCCGAGGCTCTAAATATTAACCGAAGCTTGTACATAAAATACAATTAAATTCATATTACAAGTAGTACAATGAATATAAAAGAAGCGCTTCTCAAAACCTCTCAGGCCTGTCGGGCTCCGCCTCAGCCTGGATCTCTTGAGCCGGCTCAGACCTTCAACAAATACACGGAGGCCAACAGCATCTAGGGTTGGTGATTCCGTGCAAGCCTGTCGGCCTGTCTATTGGGGGGTTTTGGGTTTTGGAGCGTTCGTCTGCTCAGTTGCTGCAGGGCTCCGGCGGCAACAAAACGCCGCGCGGTGGCGACAAGCGCAGACTCTCTGTTTTTCTGCACCATCCCTCGTCCCTTTGCAAGCCGCTATTTCTGTGCCTGGGTCTCGGGATCGGCGCGTTTCTCGCCTGGCGATCCCGACAAAGTGCTTCGGCAGCATCCAGGACTTCTCCTCAGTTGCAAGCATAGCTACGGTTCAGGAAACCCAGCCTGTCTCCGGCTTCACATGTAGGCTCTGCAGATGCTGAAAGCAGACGCGAGCCATGGACGACCATACCTTCAACCGGAAGATGCCCGACAGTACCGGGAAGCTGCTATATAGCGGTTACCAAGCCAGGGCAACCGAAGACGAAGATCAAACTCAAAGAATGACGGCGTGAAGAGGACTCGCTCGAAGAACATCACAATGACCCAAGTACATGCAGTGCCGCACGCCCTAAGACCAGCATCAAGCATTAAACTCTTGGAGGCCCTGCTAAGAGCCGGGCGGATAGTCGGATGTTCCGCCAGAGCACAGCGCTCCGGCCGCATGATGCTGGTCAGAAACAGCCCTGGAGTGGCCAGGCAGCGCAGCAAGCAGCCACATCAACGGCAGCAGCAAAACAAGGACCGCAGCCAGGCCACCCGAAACCACTCGCTTCCATCACCAAACCCTTCATGAAGAGCAGCAACGTTTGCCAACCCTGACGAAGAGGGGCCTTTGTTGATCCGCTTCCAGGTGTGGTTTTTCTTGTCGATAATGCCTCGACGCGGCATTCAATCAGCCAGCAGCTACCAGGAGCATGTTATTACTGCTGCTCACCAGTGCCGGTCTCTCCCCCTGTCTCACAAGTTCGTTCCGGCCGAGCTGCTGTTAGATGTGTCGATGAGGTTCTTCATGACACGGGCGTGCGCAGCATTCATCTCCTCCAGAAAACTTTCCGCCGCGTTGGTGTCGAAGGTTTTGGCCTCCTGCACGGCCGCAAAGCAAAGCCGCAAACGGTACACCTGCCTTTTCGCGCAGAATAAACACGAATGTCTCGCCTTACCCTTAAAGACAATGCACTTGGACTGCAGCAGATCGCGCTCTCTAATTTTGACCGGGTGACAAGGAGGAGGAGGCGCGTCGGTGCGGACGGCCGCGGGGGTGGGGGAAGGGGGCGGGGGCGGCGGCTGTGATGGTGGTGGTGGTAACGAGGGCGGGCATGCGGCAGAAGGTGAAGGCAGTGCAATGCTGGCTTGCTTCGGTGCATTTGCCGGGTCATAGTTCCTATTCGTGCAATTAACCTTGTCTGTCGTGGTGGCCGTGCTTCTGACGGCGACAATGATTTGGGATGGGCCAGCGAGTCTAGCCGCTGCTGTTGGAAGTTGTCGTGGAGCTGGCGGAGCTGCTAGTGGTACTATGGTACTCCAAAACAAGCCTGGACCTGACCAAGCCCAGCACCTCCGAAGGCTCGCCCTCAGGCGCCAGCAGCTCTGCGAGGGCTTCGCGCTCTAAAGGCAGGCGGCCGGCGATGTAATCCTGGTCTGAGACACGAGGCCTCTGCGGACGTATTCAAAACAAAGCTGTGATCAGCTCCGACAAAGCAAAAACCCTGAGACGCTCCCGCAGCAGCTGCATGCGAGCGCAGTACTCGTCTAGGGCCTCCACAGTGTCACAGACAGCTGCTGACGGCAAGACGTGAGTGTCAGATTGCTGTGGCAACGATTGTTTATCAGATTACCTGCGGTGATCTGCGCTTCATTGCTTGGCTTAGCTTTGAGAACAGACGCTGCATCTCCCCTTGCAAGAAAGAACGCTGAGCTTAATCGGCAGTCCCAGCAACGTTCGACAATGCAGCCATTGGTTATCCCACAGATAGATAGCTTAGTTGTAGTAGTTGCCAACAGCAACCCCCCACTGCAAACTTGCTGGGTGGATGTTTTGGGGTGCTGCACTGGTTTTGTTGTGTCCCAGGCAAGAGTAAGGCCTACCACAACACTTCATGCAAAGCAGGCGGCTTTCCTGGCGGACTGAGGTTGTGTGTAATTCTGCATCAAGAGGCCCTGCTGCGGAGATGTCGCGACTGTTGTGAAACACGCTTTGTGCAAATGGAAGCGCGGGCCACAGGACAATGAGGCAGTTGTTCGAGCACGACTTTGCTGCTGCGTGCTCGGGAAAGAAACCCTGGCGATTATTTCAGTGGTAGAGTGTTTGTTGCGTAGTTAGCTGAGTAGGTGAGGGACTGCAGCCGTGGGCCTCCCGGCGATTGCGCGTAGCCTCCGCTTCCAAGGCCTGAACTCTCAACGTCTTGCTTGCTTCTGTTGCATCGGACACAACCACAATCCAAGTACCGAAGGCACTGGCTGGTTATGTGTCAGTACTCGATCATACTTATACGGACTCTTATACGGTTCACCTTGTCATAGTCAGCTAACGGGTCCGCAAATGCCAGCCTACCTGCCAATACACCAATGTATGCAAAGTCTGCGTCACTGTGTATCCGGATTCGACGACAGAAACACACGCAGGTGCACACAAGCCAACAGACACGTGCATCGCAACAACAGCAGCAACAACAACAACAACAACGGTGCAACAGTGCAAAAACAAGAACGACGACGACGACGAACGACAACAGCGACAGCCACAACCAACAACAACCAGCGTCAACAACAACAACGACAACAACAACAACAACAACAACAGCAATAACAGCAAGAGCAGCAACAGCAACAGCAACGGCCAACAGCGAAGATATAAAGGCGCCGCAGCAGCAGCAGCAGCAGCAGCAGGAGCAGCAGCAACAACAACAACAACGGCAACAACAACAACAACAACATTTCATTCACACGCAGCGGGGGAGGACTGTCTGTGGTGAAACTTATCGTCCACGCTTTGCGAGGGATCGACCTAGTGCCCTGCTTACTACTTGCGCGGTCACTCTTCACGGCAAGCCGTGCCTCAGCGCTGCACTTGCACACGCTCCGCCCCTCAGGGCTGCAAGCTGTGAAGTGGGAAGCGAATGTGTCTTCAGAGTCTTATGCGGCGTTATGATTTCGGCACTAGCTTGAAAGCTAACCGGCTTGGTTGCAATGTATCACTGGCTGATTGGCAGCAGATCATTTTGC